CCGACAGTTCGACCGCCAATTTCGACGATGTCCACCGTATGCAGGGTGGTGCAGGAACGATGACTTACGCTGGATTATAATTAAAGTAGACTTGCGCGGCATCTACCTCACACATCTCACTCCCCCGCCTGGACCCGGTGACAAAACAAAGTCCAGAAGACCGGAAGTGGAAGAGGGCATCTACTGCTGCGCCTGACGCTAGCAGGCAGAGGTATTCGGAACAAAAACAGCAAACCAGCGCGGTTGCGCAACATGTTAGAGAAAGGGGGTAACTTACAGCGAGAACATGCGAAAACAAGTCTTTTCAGTAGGCTGTAGAGCACATGGAGAGTTGAGAAGGGTGCTGGCAGGACACCAATTCGGTCAAAGTAGAAGACAATGCGAAATCGGTTCTCCATCCAGATATTTCGCGACTGGTCAACGAGATCGCTGAACACTTTACTGTAAAAGGAGAAATACCCTAAAGTCAGTCTGTTATTAAACAGTACGAAGAGCATTTTACAGTCTCCATTCTAGTGCAAGCGCAGGCGGAGGAGTGAGTGTGCACCTGCAAGGGTATGCGCCGTGCCTCCTTCTACTCAATGTAATTGTTTGAGAAAAATGACAACTAAGATCCACGTGAGCTTAAGGATTACGGTTGGCAGCTGCAGGTGGTGCTAGCACGTGAAACACATTAAGAGATTTTGAGTACATTTCAGCTATTCGGGCCCATAGGTGGTAGATAGCGGAATGACTTTCAGTGAAGGTTTGGTGCCAAGTAAGCAAGGACTTTGAACCTGACAGCTTGACTGTCGACTCCAACTCTGCTCAGCGCGTCTTAGTCCCGTTCCCACATGCCACACCAATCTTCCTACGCTGGATCAATCCCCCTCCTCTCAACCTGTGTTTCTGATGAGAGAGCAGCCCCTCCCGGCCACACTGCTCCGACCCCTCCTCATCACCGCCGGAATAAAGGCCAGTCCTAGACCTCTTTGGTACTGCTCGGTCTGTCGATTCCGCCTGGGCCGCCGCGACTGTTCTGCAGGT